ATCCCTTTGTTATTCAGTACCGGGTGCCGATAATCCCTTTGTTATTCAGTACCGGGTGCCGATAATCCCTTTGTTATTCAGTACCGGGTGCAGATAATCCCTTTGTTATTCAGTACCAGGTGTTGGTACAAACAATGAGGTGCTGGTACTTCATACCAGTCAGTACTTACCCACTTCAAGAACTGGTTTCATTTGAATTTATCAGTTATCATCCCACAGGAAATTAATTTATTAATAAAATGTGCCTAAAATATAAACAAAGTAAAATACATTCTTAAATAAACATTTATCTTTTAAAATTTCTATTCTTTTATGGAAACTGTTGAGTAATTAAATCATAATAGAAATGAATACAAAAGCATATAAAAAGGTTTTTAACTGATTGATCATGGTTTTCTTTCATCATCATTCCATTAGTTTTCAGCTCTGCTAGTGCATTAGAACAGAAGCTCTTTTGAAACAACTGACTTGGTCATGCATGCAGCCTCCCCGTATGTACGTTTTATTAAACTGGGTATGCTGTAATAAACTCTTGGGTGGGTTAAATTAACAGGAGAATGATTCTGCAGGGCCGGTCAACCCTATAGGCGACATAGGCGGCTGCCTAGGGCACCAACCTGGCAGCCAGTTTCGAACCGGGGACACCGACCGTGATGCCTACCCAAAGTGCCACATTGGCTACTGTGATTCTGTATGTCATTTTAGTAGACAAAATGAAGAAATATTGCAAAATCAACAATTTTTTAAAATATATTTTTGTTTGATGGGTTGCTTACACTACTAAACATCTGGTCTGTTTTATTTATCATTTATCATTTGTCTTATTCAGCAGGCACTGTCTAAAATGATGTACAAGTGAGGCGAAGAAAATATTAGTAAATCACGTCTACTGTGAGTCAGGCATCAAGCCTCTTAAATCATGGAGCCACCAAAGCCTGCCATGAGCACATATTTATGTATTCTATTAGGAAATTTCCAATTTTAACAGGTACACACTAGATCAGCGTTTCCCAGCCTTGTCCACGGGGATCCCCAGACTGTCCACATTTTTGCTCCCTCCAAGTTCACTGCCAGACAGTCACCATTTTTGCTCCCTCCAAGCTCACTGCCAGACAGTCCACATTTTTGCTCCCTCCAAGCTCACTGCCAGACTGTCCACATTTTTGCTCCCTCCAAGTTCACTGCCAGACGGTCCACATTTTTGCTCCATCCAAGCTCACTGCCAGACAGTCCGCATTTTTGCTCCCTCCAAGCTCACTGCCAGACAGTCCACATTTTTGTTCCGTCTCAGCTCCCAAAAACATGGACTGTCTGGGGCTCCCCAGGGACTGGATAGGGAAACACTGCCCTAGATGTTAAAGCATTGTGTCATATAGCATTACAACTGTTCTTTACTGGAAAACTGAACCTGACATTGTTTTTCCCCAGGGTCAATCAACTAATAGCTACCTCAGCCCTCCCCCCACCAATTCTAGAAGAGAGTTGTAATACATTGTAACATATGAGAATAGGAGTTAAGCTTAAGCTAAAAAAGAAATTAATTATGTCCAGAATTAGTTTATTCCATCACTTGTCCACATTCACATATTCACTGCATAGTCATGGTGAGTTTGGAGACTGAGAGAGAGAGAGAGAGACGTGTAATCATATCTTTTTGGGGACCACTCATTCATTTCTGTGGGAAAAATGCTAATGCTAACTATGACAACCTTAACCCCTACCCAGCCCTAACCATAAGTAACCAAACAATATACAAGTATTTGCATATACGAGTTTTTGCATTGCAGTCACGGGTTTTTATAAAATAGAGTTTTCCCATATACGGACCAGGAAACTGCTCCCCATAATTAAAAAAAATTGTTAATTTCCTCTCATATACCAGTCATCCCAACGTCTTTGCCCAAAGCACCCAGTACTAATTTCCAAACAACAGCTACGTGAAATTGTGTGTGGAGTTTGCATGTTCTCCCCGAGTCGGACATGTTTCCTCCCACAGTCCAGAGTTAAATGGTATCTCTAAATTGTTCATGTGGCTCCAGTGCCCCTCCACCCCCTGGCAACACCAAACTGGATTTGCAGCTGGAGAAGGGATGCGAAAATGCTTTTTTCCCTGTTTATTCTGCACAGACAAAGCCTAAACTGGTATACCTGGTTTTTTCTTTTTTTATACAAGCAACCTGGCAGAAAATTCAGCTCTCAAAAGTGTGCATCCCTATCATGTGCATCCCAGTAAGTCACAGCTTCCCTGTCCTGCCCCTTGTCTCATGGTTCCATTTGCTTACCTAACAATTAGCACAAATCCATCTGTGAGAAAATAGTAACAATGTGTTTCAAAATATACCCTTTTTAACTCACAAAGCAAACGTTCCTCTGGCACTGGGGTCTGAGTCTCCCCCGGGCTCGGTGTGTGTGGAGTTGGCATGCTCTCTCTGTGGCATCATGGGGTTTCCTCCGGGTACTCCATCCTGGAGACTGGAGTCCCCAAATTGTCCCTGGGTGTGACGGCATGTGATAGGTTGGCACCCCATCTTGGGTTATTCTGGAATAATGGGTGCTGAAAGTGAATAGCTTCAATGGACAGCTGCAGACTGCTGTCTGTATCACTCAGCTTTCTGAATGATGATAGTGACTGTTGTATCTAGTGTCGTTATTGTATTTTAGAATTTAGTGATCAGTGGTCATTGTTGACACACCACAACAAAATGTGTCCTCTGCAT